AAATTGAAAATTCATCAAAATCCAATTTAACCACTAAAAAAAGTGTGTCACTCACCTCCGTAGATCATAAATTCCGTATGAAGTCATGAAGAAGGTAAACAATCAAAGCATGAAAAATGTTAAAATATTTACGAGGCTCTTTAAAGAGCAAAATCAAAATCCTATTTTAGCATATTTGGCTGAGGTAACTTCATATACCCATAACATATTTGTCCATTAGTAAACTACCTTATGTCAAATTAATCCACGATTTAAGGAGATTTCATCTAATTATAGAATAATGAGTATGTCGAATTATATGAATCATTATCTCCCGCAATAAAAAAATGCATGTGTAGCAGTAGTTCTTTAGTCAAAGAAGAAGTTCTCATAAACTACAATATTGAAAATGTATTCAAAAAGTGCCAAGAAGTCCAAAAATGAATGATAGAGTAATTTAGATTGGTTAGAAACTCTTGCACAAAGTTATGTAGAAAAATTAAGAAAAAATAAGGTAATTTGGATTGATTTGGGATCAAAATTTAGATTTGAAAAACGGTCCTGCGCACATGTATATTACATTGTATAGGCAGAATTTATCAACAACTATTTAAAGATGGTTCGACTTTTCACTTAGTTTTTTCATGTGCTTATTTGAGGCAAAAATTACACAAATTACCAAATCAGCAAAACATGTCAAAATGATATAATTCAGCCTCATTTTAGGTGTTTAAATAATATAAATCTTAATTAAAATGTTTAAATAAAAAAACGTATCAACTATAAGTATCTATCTATGAGTTCTTTACTATACATCAAATATGCATATATATCACATACCTATTTTCATAGATATACATTACACAACTATATGTCAACTACATTTTATAAATATATATATACACAAAGGACGAGATGTAGCAGTGTTAAGCTTTTCCGGAACAGTAAAATGCCCCGACTACTGTAGCAACACTGTAGCTCAACAGTAGATACACTGTTACCAGGACCCAGATAGGGGCCCAGTATCCTGTACAAAGATGCTTTCTTTTCCTATAAATAAGTTTGTTTTTCTTTAATTAAGGAGCAGGTTTTAGAAACCCTCTCTTCCGTTTTGCACTCTCTCTCTTTCTTGTAAACTTTTCTTACTAAGTTTTGTAAGCTTGCCGGATTTTGGCCGGAATAATAAAGTGTGCGGTTTGGTAACAACAAGGTACTTTCTTTTCTCATTCTTCTTGTCTTTTACTTTTATAAATTCTCTGATCTAAGTCGCGACTATGTCCGGCTAAAAATTTATATCTATGCCGGATAAGTAACTTCTCTCTTATATAGACCATGAACGGATCTAAGCTTTATTTAAATATAGAAGAATTTTAGTATGGCTTCTTGACTTGGTTCTGAGATTGAGGTACAGTCGGATCTAGTACTACTTTTATTGGCTTTGTCTTTGTGACTCCGTCTGATGAGCCGTGATTTTTAGCCCGAAAAAGAGTTTGAGTAGGGCGCCTGATACCCGGTTAGAACTATCAGACACATAGGCTCAATAAAAGTATGTATTAGCCTCTTGACAGGCCCTTTGCTTGGGTAAAATAATTAAACCATGCAGTCGGAGAAACTATATTAAAATTCTTGTGTATTTCGATTCTTATGTAGTTGGACTACCTCTAAGGATATTGACTTGCTTTATCTATGACTGGGCGGACCACCGCCAGGTCAGTGATCCTGTATCGTTGGTATCAGAGCCTAGGAACTTTCATGGTATATATATAATTGATGTGAAGAATTTCGGCATAGATATATTCTCTCTTTTATGGATCAAGAAGATATTAAAGTACTCGGTTAGAAGAGGTAGATATACCTCAAAACCTTGATTTATTAAACAAATGGACTATTCCGAAAGTGAATATAAAAACTATTTATGATTATGGTTGGTTTGATAAAATATCAAATAAACAGTTGATTAAAACAACTGAGCAATCTTTGGCGTTAAACTCGTCAGAACAAACTATTCGTTTATTAAATAAGCGTGATATTGAATTATATAAATCTCAATATAAATTCTTGCATATTGGCATGGTTCAAATTGCTTTCAAGCCTTTGACTCTTAAAGGGTTGTCAGAGACTTTCTTAGCTGCTCTTCGTGATGCAAGAAATCTTAATTTTCGACAGTCTTTGATGGGTTCGATAGAATCTACAGTGGCCTATGGCCCAGTTTAATTTAATGCTCAGCCAAATTTGCAGTTATCTTTGACTGATTCTAATATCTTAGAAGTCTTTAACTTTGAATGTTAAGACGCATGGTTATAACTATGCAGCTAGTTCTGAATTAATCTGTTTGTCTTATAGAATCTATTTTAAATTACTTGCTACTTTGAATCCTAGATGTAAGTTATATGATACATCTGATCAAACTATTTTGGTAGAAACTAATTCGCCAGATCTAAGGTCACTACTAAGAAGACCTATAAAATGGGGAAAGAAATTAATTTTCCTACTACTTGGATTCTAGATTCTGTTATACCCCCTGAACAACTGACAGATGCTGTCACCAATTTTGAATATTCTCATATTAGTCAAAATTCCGATGGAAAAAATTGTATACAGTTTGATGAAAAAAGTGTTTCTTATAATAGACATTCTTTTGCTTTTGATAGAAGACTGGCTATTCAACATATTTCTCCAATAGAACCTTGTTATGGTCCAGCTAGAAATCGCGCTGCTTCATTGCATACTTTATCAACAGTTATATCTGCAGAAAATACAAAAAATTAAAATTGATCCTCAAAAAACAAAAAATTAAAATTGATCCTCGATTAAACATTGTTCAAACGAATGATAAATCATCTGATTTTTCTGATAAGGATATACCTTCTGTATCCGAGATGGATTTTAATCTTAATGATACATATTGATGAGTGAACATCAAATTGATTTTAGTCCAGGTTCACTGGCAAGAAAATATATTCAGAACGAATTTTTAAATGAAAACTGGAACTGATTTAAAACTTGGTTTTTTGACACTTATAGTAAAGAAGATTTAAATAATACTTCTCAAGAATTTTATGAAACTTGTGCATTACATAATAATATTATGTTCTTTGTGCATTGGTTTATAACCACTTATTTGTCTTTATTCATCAACGTTCTTGAACGATCTTACAAAGATGAATCAAGTAATATTATTCAATCCATTTATCCTCCTCAAGCTCCGTTTATTTTACCAAATAATACTGGTATTACTTTTACTGCTTTTCATAAATTTATTGTTAATGAAGTCGCCGCAGTTAGTATAAATGAAATTAATCGTCTTATTTCTCAAAATAATTATTTGGGT